GCGGGTGTGGGGGGGGGGGGGGGGCGGGTGGTGATTTCTCGCTTTCTGTCTCTCTGTCTCTGTTCTTCTGGTGAGCATACGCACCCTATAGCAAAAATTCTCTGCCCCCCCCCAAAAAAAAAGTTAAAAAAGAAAATTACACAAGGCACATGTGCATGCATGCTCAAAATCCCAGGAGGAGAATGGAGGAGAAAGGATTGAGGCATGATCATTCTCCCTGGGGGGATGATTTCTCACTTTCCCTCTCTGTCCAACAAGCACACACACCCTACGGCAAAAACCTAAACAAAAACAAACTATTTATGAAGGTTGATATGCAAGAACTGAAACAGTTTGTGCCTTCCAGGTTTTTTATTCTTTGAATGATGCAGAGGGTGGGGCAGTTTTCCACCCATTGAGCATTTTTAAATCATGAGAAGCTCTAGAGAGCAGAATCCACGTGGTGCTCAGCTGCGTTTGAAGAGCCACAAAGGTTGCAGTGGCTGTGTTCGGCCGACTCATGGTTTCTGGAGGTGACACATGCAAGGGCGCGGACAAAGGCTGCTGACCTCAGAGCCTTGGTTGACTGAGTAGCCAATGCTGTGCTGGCCATACCCTGACACCCCTAACGCACAGTTACAGAGCATGTGAGGAAATCACACTTCGGAGGAGGACAGAGCCTGGTGTATGTGGAAACACATCTGTGTGTGGGAGCCTTTGCCTTGAAGGGGCTGGAAACCAGGCTCCAAGTTACAGCTAGAGTCAAAGGACACTTACTGATCTTCTTTATCTCAGATCTTTTCCCAGGAAAATCAGGGCATTTTCCATCAGACAACACCAAGTGCTTTGAGTTCCTTAAAAAAGTTGTAGCAGAGACCAGTAGATGGCATAATGTCTATGTAGCTGAACTCCCATGTAGCCAACCATGGTTCGAGTCCTGGATCCAGTGGCTTAAACTCACGTCGGGCATGTGTGCCTACGTGCCCAAGATCCTGAGACGAGAATGGAGGAGAAGGGATTGTGGTGTGGCAATGCCCCTGGGCATGATTTCTCGCTTTCTGTCTCTCTCTCTCTGTCTTTCTGACGAGCACACGTGTCCTATAGCAAAAACCTCTCAAAAAAAAAAGGTTGTAGCATCCTGGCCACTCAACAGATATTCTTAGTCCTTGCAGTCCCCTGCAGCCACCACCACCCTAGAGTGCAAACATTACTGGTTTTCTAAAATTTTAGAGGTATCTTAATTTTGCAAATCATTGCAGTGTATTTCTCTGGAGGACACTGGGGAACAAGGGTTGGGGTAACAGCCCCAGAGATAGTGCCAGCACATCTTGTGCCATCTGCAAAGGACATGTCTTAGATGACAGGTGTAGCGGCTCCATGAGTAGAAAGCTTTGACCAGGAGCTCTGCAGGGGCTGTCAAAGCAGGGCAATAGGTCAGTGTATTTGTCCTATATCTGGAAAGCCAGTTCTCACCTTACTTATGAAGAGTTTGATTAAGTCAACTCATTAATGCCTGAGAGAATTGAAAAAAAAAAATGGCATTAGCAATAAATGAAAGAAACTTGAAATAGTTGGCTCCTGGTGGCAGCCACATCCTCCAGTTATTTAGCAGTGGTTTCTCTCATAACAACACTGCTACGAAGAGCCTTCCAGAATATTTCAGAGCAGGCCTCAGGCACATAGCACTTGATCTAGTACCTTAATATTCCTTTCTTCACTTCAACCAAAGGTCTCTTCATCATCCTCTCATTGAGAAGATTCATTCCCTCATTTCAAATCCAGTTTTTTCCCCCATTTCCAACCTCATTCCTTCTCCAGAATTTTGCTACTGAATTAATCCTAAATCAAATTTAGGTCCTTTTCCTCCAACATCTTTAACTTCTTTCTACCTGTGAGCTTAAATATAGGTTTGAGTCTCTTTAACCCAATAACACCATCTCTGCCTTTGACCCTGTGACATAGATGCAGTGGGAACCCACACATTCAACTGTTTCTCCACCATTGCTGTCAGCCTTGACATTTGATCAAGACTGACTCTAGCCCCATACCCAAGGAAGAACTGTGATTGGCTAAGCAAGACAAGCAATGGGAAACCAAGGGAGTGAAGCATCTAGAAAGCAAGTGAGGAAAGTGCTTTAAGGAGGAGGGAATGACCACCAGTGTGCTCACTGCTGAGACCATGAGTAGTTGGGGCTGAGAGCACCTATTGATGTGGTGAGGGGAGAGCCTTACTGGGGAAGAGGGAGCAGAGGTCTAAATGGAGTCAGGAAAGAAAAGGGCAGAGAGCTTGAAGACAGTGAGAAACATATGCAGCTTTCTAGAAATGAAGCTATAACTGGAGGAACAACAGGGTCAAGAGAGGTTTCTTTTTTTGTGAAGATGGGAGAAATAATTGGTGATTGGTATACTGACTGCTATAATAGAAATGACTTAGTAGAAAAGGAAAACATTGATAATGCAGAAGAAAAGGGGAGGGAATTTGATGGAGTAGGAGGGCTTAGCCCATTCACAGGACATTGTTGGTCAGGGAAGGGCCAAGACATACATATGCCCTTGTATATTTTAAAAGTTATAATAACAGTGACATTTTAAATTTCAGCACCAAGTAATGCATGAAAACAGTCTGTTTACTAAAATCCTAGAACATTAAAGATAAAACTTTACAGAGAAGTCTCCTTTGGTGGGGAAGTAGGATTCCACCCCCCCCCCACAAAGGTCAGGGATCTGCATTAGGGAGATGCAGCATTTCAGAAAGTGGAGAGAAAGCACGCGAGAGTGAAAAAGGAAGAAAAATAACTAGAAAGCAATGACCGTACTGGAAAGGCTGCTGTAAAAATATCACTGAAAGGGCATGTGCTTCCTTGCCGGGAGCTGAGAAGTCTCCTTTGGTGGGGAAGTAGGATTCCACCCCCCCCCCACAAAGGTCAGGGATCTGCATTAGGGAGATGCAGCATTTCAGAAAGTGGAGAGAAAGCACGCGAGAGTGAAAAAGGAAGAAAAATACTAGAAACCAATGACCGTACTGGAAAGGCTGCTATAAAAATATCAATGAAAGGGCATCTGCTTCCTTGCCGGGAGCTTATGGGTGTGAGGATAAACAGGTGGGCTCCCCTATGTGAAGTCAGGGGGTGGTGGGGGGTGAAGAGAAATGGTGGTACTAAGATTTGGGAACAGAGCTTCCTCCCAGGCCCCACTGGGATAAGCTTGGTAACACGGAGGAGCCTTGCCGCCCAGATATCCATCAGCATGGTATGCACATTCTTCAGATCCATCCCAGCTAGTGTGTGTATCAATACTTATTCCTTCTTATTTCTGAGAACTGCTCCATTTTCTGGGTGCACTACAGGTTGCTTTCTATTCACCCATTGAGGGAAGTTGGAGCTGTTTCTCACACTGGGCTAGGAGGAACACAGCTGCTGCAAACATTTGTATACAGATTTCTTTGTATGGACATATAAGTTTTTTCTGTACAGTTAATTCCCAGCAATGGGTTTGCTGGGTCACATGGTAAAATGCATTTATCTTTACAAGAAACTGCCAAACTTTCCTAGTACCATCTAGAACTGAACCATCTATTTTGTATTTCCGCCAGTACCAAACGTATGAGAAACCAGTTACCCCCTCATCCTTGTCAGTATTTTCTAGTTTAACTGTCCTAATGGGTGTGCCATGGTATCTCCTCATGGCTTTAATTTGTATTTTCCTAATGACTAAAGATTTTGAGCATCTTTCCATGTGCTCTTTTGCCATCTATATGTTTTCTTTAGTGAACTGTGTGTTCAAATCTTTTGTCTACTTTTTAATTGGACTGTTTGCTTTCCTGCTGTTGAATTAAGAATTGCCTTTGTGTGTTCATATGTTCATGTGATGTGTGATTTGCAAGCTTTTCCCCCATTCTGTGGTAGATTTTCTTATCTTAAGTACATTATTATGTTGCTGACAGAAATACTTGAATCTGGGTGCTTTCACAAATAACATAGAAATTTATTTATAGGGACCAGCAGTGGCATGGTGGTTAATGGGCTGGAC